TTATAGTGTTTTTTGCAAGGGAAAGCGGGCGTCAACAAAACAACCGGATCCGGACACCCACGTTTTGCCTGAGACTTCCTCACGAAAATGATGAAAATGTGGCTGCGGCCTAGGCGCGGCGAGGGGGGCGCGCACCAGGGGTCCCAACAATAATTATTCTTTAGAATAAATAATGTTCAACAAAAAACAACAACAAAAAAACCCTGTGGACAGCCCAGTCCCGCCCTCCCCGCCCCCGACCCTCCGCACCCCGCCGACCCCCCCGTCACCCCCCCGTCAACCCCCCATCCCTCCCCCACCTGCCTTCCCCTTCCCCGTCCTCCCTCCCCCCTCCCACTTCCCTCCCCTTCCCTCCCTCCTCCCCGTCCCCCCCCCCCCTGCACAATTACACAATGTGAACTCTCCCCCGACGATCCCGAGGTCGTAGCCTGCCCCCCTCCGCGTATTGTTTTTCACACACCAGATCCCCGAAAGGTGATGGACGAGACATGTTTTTCCAATCCGAACGTCTTCGGTGTCTCCAGAATGGCGATCCCGCTACAAGTGTTGGTATCGCGCCCCGAACACCAGGAACAATGGTGATTGACGCCGCACTCGGTTTTCGGTTCCTAATGCGGGTCTCCGGCGGCCGTTCGGGACGACTCGGACACGCCCGGGACGCTCTCGGCGAGGCGCAGCTGCCGGAAAGCACCCCGAGGGTGGAACACCGCCGAGGAGCGACGCAAACGTCAGAAGACCTCCCAAGCCTCGAGCATCGACCTCCCCCCTTTCGTCCGCGAGGGGGCCTGGCGAGGCGCCCACGATGGCGGCAAACTCGGCGGCCCGGTCGTCGGGGACCAGCTCCGCCACGCACAGCTCGGCGAACGCTGGGCTGTCCGCGGCGAGCTCCGCCTCCCAAGCCTCTTGGGGTCTCCCAGCGGCTGCAGGAGGGGCGGATGGTCCAGGGTGAGAACATGGTCTCTCATACGGCGACGACGACGACGACGACGACGACGACGACGACGACGACGGACGACGACGACGACGACCACGACGACCACGACGACGACGACGACGACGACGACGACCACGACGACCACGGCGGCGGCGACGCCACTGCTCGTCCTGGAGAGCCCTTGTCTCACCGCTGGATTCTCCTTGAAACTCGGGTCGGAACGCACCTCGGGAGAGGTCGGGGGAGTGGCGGTGTCCGTATCTTTCTGTTCACCCAACGTCGACTCGGCCTCCCAGGAAGGCAGGGGGGGCTCCTTAGAAGGCCCAGGGTGCTTCTATGGAGGCTTCTTAGAAGCCGGCCTGCCCGAGGCCCCTCCGCCATCTTAGAAGCCCCGCCGCCTCCTCAGAACCCCCGCCCCTCGCGCCTGCCCCTCGTGGGCGCCGCCAACCAACGTTGGGGGGAACAAAAGCTTCCGATACCGCTGCTCCTCGGACCTCTCCCGTCCCGTGGTGCGTTCGCGCCGGAATCTGGGGGAGAATCCAGCCGTGGTGATGAGGCTTCTGCAGGACGACGAGCGGCATCGGTACCTTTCCTCCCTTGAAGCGTCGTCATCGCCGAGGCCGAGGCCGTGGCCGACGCCGACGACGTCGTCGACGTTCAACGTCGTCGTCGCCGCCGCCGCCGTCGTCGTCGTCGGCGTCGTCGTCGTCGATGGTGCCAGCGTCGTCATTCGTCGTTCGTCGTCCGTCGTTCGTCGTTCGTTCCTCGTCGTTCGTCGTTCGTCGTTCGTCGTTCGTCGTTCGTCGTCGACGGTGGTGCCAGCGCCGCAGTCGGCCGCGCGGCCTCGGCGGAGAAGTCCGACGCCCTCCTCACGAGCGTGGCGGCGAGTCCGCCCTCGCCGTCCACGACGTCCTCGGGCGGGCCCCTGGCGCAGGATGAGCGCGCGCGGGCTCGCGCCGGCGACTGCGCCGTGGTCGTCGCCGTCGTCGCCGTCGTCGCTGTTGCCGTCGGCGTCAGGGCACGGTTCTCTCAATCCTGGCGTTCTGCCCCAATTTTGGTCCCGTTGTCGGGCCCGGGCCGTCAAAAATGGAACCAGGACGCAAAGCAACCCACGGAAAAGGGGGATGGGGAGTCCTGGGGCCGCGGGTTGAACAAGCCATGTAGGGTGATGCCTGGAGTCGTCGCCGGCGTCGCCGACGGCGAATCGGGCATGAGGAGGTCCCCAACACGTACGCCACAACTAGAAAGAAAGAAAGCATAGCAGGAGCATAAACTATCAAAATTTCTTGGATCGGCACTGGAGACCCCGCTCTGGCGAGCAGTGCGCGCCAGGGGCGCCGCCAGAGGCTCCGCGAGGGGAGTCCAGCGCATCCGAGCAGAGCTCCGAAAGTGCATGCTTATGCTATGTGTTTGATTTCCTGTCTATGCTTACTAATAGCATGATGATGATTCGCATGAATAGTAGCATTCGTATTGTTATCATTTTGGTAATTATTAGTACTATTCGACAAAGCTGCCTCGCATGCTCTGGCCCGCACTCCCACCAATGGTTCTGGTCGCCACCCCAGTGGCCAGCCACTGGGGACCAATACAAACGCCAGGTGCACCGCCTGCTCGCGTGCTGCACCACCACGTGCGCCAGGTACGCCATGCACACTAGGTGCGCCAGGCACCTGAGCGCGCCAAGTGCGCCCGGAGCACCACGCGCGCAATGCGCCGAATGTGCCATGTGCTCCCAGTTCGCCGCGTGCGCCAGGTCCGCGACGCGCGCAGGATGCGCCAGGTGCGCCAGTGCACGTGAAAGATGTCGGCGCCCGCACCATCCCTGCGAAGTCCAATGCACCAATACGAAGCGATGGCGGGGTGACCAGCACAGCATGGTGAATGCTGTTCGCGCCCACAGTTACTGTGCATCGGCGGTTGGCAGGGAGGGTCTGCCCGCCCGATGCTGACAAAACGATTTCTAACCCCTGCATCCTAAACATTGCAGCGGCGTAGAGACCCCAAACAACAGCGCTCCATGAGAACACGCATGGTGACTCAAACTAAGCACGGCACAAAGACGGCATGGCACACCCTGCATGCGGCACGGCACGGCACGGCACGGAACGGCACGCGGGCGCGGCACGGCACGGCACATCGCTGCATGCGGGCAAGGCACGGCACGCGGGCATGGCAAGTGTTTCGCATTCTGGAATTTAAGCAAGCCGCGCACGGCACGGCACGCAGGCACAACACGGCGCCGCAGATCACGGCACAAGGGCGGCAACTTCTTCGCACTCATATGGTTTAGGAGCGACCTGAACGGCAGAGCACGCGGGCACGGCACAGCACGGCAAGGCACAACCTTGTCGCACACTGTGCTTAGGCACGTAGCGCACGGCACGTCACGCGGGCAACGCACGCGGGCACGGCACGGAACGGCACGCGGGGGGCAGCTTTGTCGCATTCTGTCTCTGGCACGACGCGCACGGCTCTGCCGCGGGCACGACGCGCACGGCACTGCACGCGGCCACGGCACGGCACGGCACCCCACGCCACGCCAGCAGCAACTTGTTTGCCTTCTCGGTGCTCGGCACGGCACGCGGGCATGGCACGGCAGGGCACGCAAGCAGCACGCTGGCGGCGACTGCTTCGCATTCTGGGTTCTACGGCACGACGCGCACGGCACGGCACGCGGCCACGGCACGGCACGCCGGCAACTTGCTCGTACTCTTGGTCTTGGGCACTTTTGGCACTGCACCGCACGCCACGACTCTCGGGCGGCAACTTGCTCGCGGAACCTGGGACCCCTAGCGCATCGCTGCCAAGGGCCAGACCAGTCCAAAATGATGACGGCACGCCCGCCCGTAGTCCAGCGCTTGCCGCAGCGTGCGCGCTGTCTGGTATGTCTGTAGGAGACAGTGGCGGAGGCGGCATTGCACCTGGTCGGCGGCCTCGCGAGTGGGGGCGGAAGCGCTTGCGAACAACATGGCAGGCGATCAGATATGCGCAAGGCAAGGAAAGAGAATTTAGGGTGAGGGACGGGGAAGGGCCCGGTATCCAATCCGAACGCCGCAGGCTGCCTCGCTCACTCCCGCCAGCCACCGAACTGCCTCGGCAGCACCCGAGGCTTAGCATGGGCAGCGGCCACAGTGCGATAGCCAGCCACCAGGAACCAGCCTGGACCGCCCAGTGTGCCACGCCCGCGGGGGGCTGCGGCGTGCGCGCCGGGTGCGACACGAATGCCTCGCAGGCCAGGCGCCTCAGGCACCGAAGCATGTGCCAGACGCCCCACGGTTCGCCCGAATCGGCACATGCAGCACATGCGCCAAGCGTGCGTGCCACGTGCTCCAGGCGCGCCAGATGCGCCGCGCACACGACGCGCACAAATAGTTCCCCAGACCACGCGAAAGCCCACATCTGGCAAAGTGTCGACACACACCCACCGTCCTTATCAAAGGGAGCCAAATCAGCAGAGGGGTGGTCCACTCGGTGCATGGCGTGCGCGCCCAGTGGCCCTTGGCAGCACTGCGAAAAGGACGGCCCCCGCTCGCATACTGTCTAGTGATTGCCGCGGGCTGTTTTCGTGAGGAATGAGGGGGGAGCACACATGCCCTGGTCGGCGGTCGCTATAGTGGGGGAGGAGGTTTGCGAATACAGGGCAGGGCGGGCAGGGCAATCGGGGTGGTTTCTTGTCTTCCCTCATGAAAGCACGGATACGTCTGGCTGGCCGCATTCGAAAAACCTTGCATACTTCTGGTATGGGCGCGGGCCCCTGAGGTAACGTGAACCGACCCACACTCGCACGATGTGGATGTACCCCCGCTGTCGCCCATCAACCAGAGTGGGCAGGATGGGCAGGCCAAGGCAACGTGGGGCAGGGACGGTGCGGTGACTCTGAGCCTCCGACGACTTCACCGCACGGCGGTTCTGGGACCCCGGAGGCCCCAGCTGCCCGAGACATCCTCGGAGAACTGCTCAGGTCCCAAAGCCATGCGGCCAACCCGGATCCCCACTGACCACCCCCTTGGAAGAGGGCGAGTCCAGGCAGCGGCAGCTCAACATCGGTCCCCCGACCGACCCCTCCTGGGGGTCCCGGCGGCTCGGTTTCCCGAGCCGCGCCCAGCCATGGTGACGAGGGGGCCCCCCGAAGGCCACCTACCGCTGCCTGGACTGGCCCTCCTCCGAGGCCACGCCTTGCGGTGCGGCCACCGCACTGTCTGGGGGCCCCCGAACAGAACGCGGCCCTCTCGGCCGCTTTGCGCCGGCTCTCCAGGCCTCGCCACCGTGACCCAGTGGTCCTCGCCCAGGCGGTGCAGGAAGAACCGCCAGCGAGGCATTGGGCGCCCGTCCTCGGGGTCCCGCGCTCGGGCTCTGGCTCGGACCCGCACTCGGGCTCGGGCTCGGGCTCGGGCTCGCACCCAAGCTCGGGCTCGGGCTCGGGCTCGGACTCGGGATCGGGCTCGGACTCGGGCTCGGGCCTTGGGCTCTGACTCGGGCCCGCACTCGGGCTCAGGCTCGGGCTGCAGGGGCTTCGGGCGACGCGGACACCGTGAAGTCGAGCTCCAAAACTCCGACCTCGATGCTTGGCTGCTTTCGGAACCAGGCCCGAGATGGACCGAGTCGTGAGTTCGGAGCGGATTGGAAGCGGATCGGCCCGCCAGCGGGTCCTCCCGAGCCGCTCCGAAGTCGGCTCGCCGCGCCTGGCTCTGGATGGCCCCAGGCGATGCTCGTGGTTCGAACTGGCTCGAATCGGAGCGGAATCTCGGCCCCAGCGGGCGAGTCGAATCGCGCCGAATCGGATCTTCGGCGGCCCGGGAGGCGGCCTCCCAAGAAGGCAGAGGGGCCTCTTGGGGGCCCTCGCACCCTCTCAGCAGGGCGCGGCAACAACAACTGCAAGGGGCGGCGACGAGACCAGGGGGGTGGGGCCAAGCGAGCGCACGGCCGAGAGAGAGAGAGAGGCGAGGAAGCCCGATGAGAAGCCTCCGAGCACCTCCGGGAAGCCCTCCGTGCTGCTGCCTTCTTCGAAGCCCCCCCCCCTCCCAGACATCCGACGTCGCGATTATGTTCGCAGCGTGGCTGGCTCCCCAGAGGTCCAGACCTCTTCCCAGGGACCGGGACCATCATCCCGAGCGGTCTTTTGACTGCCCTGGGACCCGGGCAGGGCCCAGGGAAGCCGAGAACTGCCAAAATCTTCCGTCGCGACTTTTGCGCGACGACAGGGTATCGGCTTTCGGGCCACAACTCGGACCTTCGGCGGCCGTTCGGGACGACTCGGGCACCCCCCAAGAACGCTCTGGGGCGAGGCGCTGTTGCTGGAAGTCATTCAGAAACGAGAAAACATGATCGACCCACGAACCCGGAAAGGAATATAGAAATATAAGGCATTGCAACATTTCAAAGACACCTGATTGGGCGACGGGCACATGCGATGCTGAATGTATCGATGATGATGTACTGTGCCGAGGGCTGTGCTCTGCTACGCCGTGCTGAACTGCGATGTGCCATGCCGCGATTGTGCTCTATACAGCGTTGTGGATCGAGTCCTCCCTGGCATCCGAGTCCTCACCGAACTGATCTGAAGCGTAAGCTCGAGCTGCCTGAGCAGATGGTAGCTGCCCCAGAACTAATCGACAGAGGGAACATGCCAGGAGGACGCGCCGCGGAACGTCCCAAGGGACGCGCCAGGCGACGTGCCAGGGGACGTGCCATGGGCACGCACCGCGGGACGTGCCAAGGGGACGCGCTACGGAACGTGCCAATGGACGTGCCGAGGGACGTGCCAGGGGACGCGCCGCGCGACGTGCCAGGTGGACTCGCCACGGAACGCGCCAAGGAACGTGCCAAGGTGCATAGATGAGTGTATCGATCTTGATGTACCGTGCCGAGGGCTGTGCTGTGCTGGGTCGTGCTGAACTGCGATGTGCCATGCCGCGATTGTGCTCTAGATAGCGTTGTGGATCGAGTCCTCCCTGGCATCCGAGTCCTCACCGAACTGATCTGGATCGTAAGCTCGAGCTGCCTGAGCAGATGGTAGCTGCCCCAGAACTAATCGACAGAGGGAACATGCCAGGAGGACGCGCCGCGGAACGTCCCAAGGGACGCGCCAGGCGACGTGCCAGGGGACGTGCCATGGGCACGCACCGCGGGACGTGCCAAGGGGACGCGCTACGGAACGTGCCAATGGACGTGCACCGCGCGACGTGCCAGGGGGACTCGCCACGGGACGCTCCGCGGAACGTGCCAGGCAACATGCCAGGCTGCAATGCTAAGGGTATCGATATTGATGTACCGTGCCGAGGGCTGTGCTGTGCCTGGGCGACCTGGACACGTGAAAACACGCGTTTCGCTCAAGACGTTGTCAGCACATCCTCATGCTAGACATCCGCCTGGGCAACCTGGACACGTGCAAACAAGCGTCTCGCTCGAGACATCCTCAACAAATGCTCATGCTAGACATCCGCCTGGGCGACCTGGACACGTGAAAACAAGCCTCTGGTTCGAGACATCCTCAACAAATCCTCATGCTAGACATCTGTCTGGGCCACCTGGAGGCGTGAAACCAAGCGTCTCGCTCGAGACATCCTCAAGACCTGGGCACGTGAAAACAAGCAATCCACTTGAGAGATCCTCAGAATTCAGGTCCCCAGGAGAGGACAACATATAACACAAAACAAGCGTTTCGCTCGAGACATCCTCAACAAATTCTGAAAAACAAGCGTTTCGCTCGAGACATCCTCAAATGTTAATTCGCCGGCCCTCTTCCCACTCTGTATTTATCGCAAAAGAAATCCGCCGGCCCTCTTCCCGTCAGATCCGGGGGTAAACCTACTAAAAGAGAACCCTGGGCCCGCGCCCTTTCCGGGAAAAAAAACACGCTGGAAGTCATCCAGAAACTAAAAAAAAAAAAAAACAGAGCGAGATAAAAACTTCAAAACCGTCAAGACGCGAGCATGCCACGATTCGTGCACGGACCGTGATATCCTCGAAGAAAAAATTGTGGTGCACGTCGCGACAGGCCGTGCACAAACCGGGACACGCGCGTAACTCGCTGCACGATGCAGTGGCCGAAAGCAGACGCGGCCAGGATTTGGACTTTTGCAATCGGACCTGGGCCAGAAGAACATCCCTCGAGAACATGAGACCCTCCGCTGGTCAAAGCACGTAGAACACCCAAGGTCCAAGGGTACCCTCCCCAGGATGCACACCGAAGTCCAACAAGCACGAGGAAGGTTAGGGTTAGGTCGGGCCTGTCCCCCTACAGGCGAACTTTAGGCGAAAAAATAAGAATAGTTCGAAACATACTCAAGACATGCTCAACATGATGGACCCACGAACCCGGAAAGGGATATAGACATGTGGAGCATGGACACGTTTTCATGATACCCAACTGGGCAACACCTCACGAAACATCCCACGAGACACCTCACGAAACAGCCCACGAGACACCTCACGAAACATTCCACGAGACACCTCACGAAACATTTCACGAGACACCCCGCGAAACATTCCACGAGACACCCCACGAAACATTCCACGACGACAGGCAACCACTCAACCAAGGCGGTGTGGTCGTGCTGGGGAGTGGTCGTGCTGGGGTGTGGTCGTGCTGGGGGGTGGTCGTGCTGGGGGGTGGTCGTGCTGGGGGGTGGTCGTGCTGGGGGGTGGTCGTGCTGGGGCGTGGTCGTGCTGGGGCGTGGTCGTGCTGGGGCGTGGTCGTGCTGGGGCGTGGTCGTGCTGGGGCGTGGTCGTGCTGGGGTGTGGTCGTGCTGTGGTAAGGTCGTGCTGGGGTGCGGTCGTGCTGGGGTGTGGTCTTGCTGGGGTGGGGTCGTGCTGGGGTGTGATCGTGCTGGGGTGGGGTCGTGCTGGGGTGTGGTCGTGCTGGGGTGTGGTCGTGCTAGGGTGGGGTCGTGCTGGGGTGGGGTCGTGCTGGGGAGTGGTCGTGCTGGGGTGTGGTCGTGCTGGGGTGTGGTCATGCTGGGGCGTGGTCGTGCTGGGGTGGGGTCGTGCTGGGGTGGGGTCGTGCTGGGGTGGGTTCGTGCTGGGGTGCTCCGCACCCTGTGATTTATCGATCGGGTCGTGCTGGGGTGTGGTCGTGCTGGGGTGTGGTCGTGCTGGGGTGTGGTCGTGCTGGGGTGTGGTCGTGCTGGGGTGTGGTCGTGCTGGGGTGGTGGTCGTGCTGGGGTGTGGTCGTGCTGGGGCGTGCTGGGGCGTGGTCGTGCTGGGGCGTGGTCGTGCTGGGGCGTGGTCGTGCTGGGGTGTGGTCGTGCTGTGGTGAGGTCGTGCTGGGGTGTGGTCGTGCTGGGGTGTGGTCTTGCTGGGGTAGGGTCGTGCTGGGGTCGGGTCGTGCTGGGGTGTCGTGCTGCGTGCTGGGGTGGGTCGTGCTGGGGTGGGGTCGTGCTGGGGTCTGGTCGTGCTGGGGTGTGGTCGTGCTGGGGTATGGTCGTGCTAGGGTGGGGTCGTGCATTTCGCTCGAGACATCCTGCCAAAATTCCAGGAAATCGTACAAAAACGAGAGACATCATCGAAATTCCTTCGCGCGGGGCGCTTTTCCGCGTCGCGGTCGGCTCTGCAAAACAAGCGTTTCGCTCGAGACATCCTCGGCAAACTCTGCGGAGCAAGCGTTTCGCTCGAGACATCCTCAACACACGAAAAAGTGGCCCGCACCCTGTGATTTATCGATCGGGATTTCAAAAACAAGCGTTTCGCTCGAGACATCCTCTAATTTTAATTCGCCGGCCTCCTTCGACCTCGTTATTTATCAGGGAAAAAATTCGCCGGCCTCCCTCAAGTTGGCACCGGGGGATTAGGTTTACCAACTAAAAGAGAACCCTGGGCCCACGCCCTTTCCGGGAAAAACAGTCTAAAACTCATCCCCGTACTATGTTTGACTATTTTTGAATATTTCCCCTGTAGAGGGACAGGCCCGACTTCACGTTAGGGTGCCCTCCCCGAGCCGACCTCGATCTGATGTCTCAGTCCGACCGCACCTCTGCCTCGGAGAGGCCTCGAGCTCGGACTCCGGCATCCCCCGGAGGAACGCCCCGCTGGGCGAGGCGCAGGCTGCCGGCAGGCAGGCGGGCGGCACCGCGTCCGGGAGAGCAGCCCACGAGCAGCAGCGGGCGCGCGAAGACCTCTCCGAACAAAACAACCCTCGCGACGCGGAGGTGCCAGGGACTGCCTGCCAGACCACCCCAGCCCAACCCGAAGACCCAAGTTTCGGGTTGGGTGGGCACGGGTTCCACATGTGTTCTTCGATGTTCCCCGACCCACCCACCCCCAAACTGGAAATCGAAGGTAAATTTGGGCCTTCGGGGGTGGGTTGGGGTGGTGGCTTGGTGGGTGGTGAGCCAGGGCTCGGAGAGCAAAACTTTACTCGGAGGCGAGCCCGGGGGGAAGGTGAGAAGGGGCGGGCCTTCTCGGGAGGCTCGGAAACTTCCCCCCGGCCTTCCGAGGAAACTCCGGAGCCTTCCCCGAAGACACCGAGAAGCTTCTCTCAGAAGGCGCAGGGGCTTCTGAGAAGTCCCGCCGCCTTCTGAGCGAAGGCCTGCTCCTTCCCACTTCTCCCCCGTATTGCGGGTACACTTGCATGCTTGCCTCCCCGGCCCATTCGTGGCCACCTTCGTTGGCCGCGCCCCGCACGAGAAGCTCCGAAGACAGTCTTCTGAGGCCCCTGCATCCTCAATCCCCTGGCGCGGTGCAGTCGCTGGGGATTTCGAGGCCACCGCGCGGCAAGTGCACTCCGCGCTCGCCGCCGATGTGCGCTCGTGCCTCCCCACGGGGTGCGCGCTCGGGGCAGGAAGCTCCCAAGGAGGACCCCGCCGCGGCGACGAGGGGCCTCCCGATGGGCCCCACCAGGCCGCCAGGGCGCCCCAAAGCTTAGGTCGGGCATGGGATTGTGGACGGAGGATAGAAAATAGTCGAAAATACCCAAACATGGTCAAGAACAACTATGTAAAAGATCGTCCCCTGCCTTTTTGTTGATTACTTGTGAACATCCCTCCTGTAGAGGTACAGGCCCGACTGAACCCGGACCCTCCCAAAACCGCGCAGGCACGCACTGGCCTCTGCGCTCCGCCTGGGAGGCCCAGACTCGACCCAGGAGAGCCCGAGCTCGTATTACGGCGCGCGCCGCCGGCGTCCACGACGACGGTGGCGACCCCGTCGCCGAAGCTGAACTCGGCGCGCCGCAGCGGCTCGAACCCGAGGCCGTCGCCGCGGGCCTTCACGAAGGCCTCCTCTCGGGGGCGCACGAGAGTCGGTGGGGGCGGGGGGGGCGTCCAAGCGCTGCGAGGTGCTCCGGCCGGCGCGCGCGTCGCCATGTCGCTAGCGGTGGCTTCTGACGCCGCGTGGATCGTTCAATCTTGAACGATAGCGGCTCTCCGATAGCGCAAATCGCTCGACATCGGCTGATTCTGGGCCACTGGCGGCATTGAAACCTTGAACGTCCGCGCTGGGGTCGCCGCCGCGTCGATGCGGAGCGAACCTACTGTACGCAAACATCATGATCAGTAAGTTGATGATGTTGAGACCCAAAAGTAGCACCTCTCAGGAACAGACAGCATCGAATCAGGACATCGGATCGGGTCTGAACATGCATGGAATCGGTCCGCTTGGGCACGGAGATGGAAGCGGATCGAATCGGCGGCGCCAGAATACACAACAGCGCCACGCAAGCATCGGGCTGCATCGGATCGCCCGAAAATCAGAATCGAATCGAATCGGGCCAGCCAGAGCCGATGTCGAATCGGATCGATCGGATCGAAATGGGCCCTGAAGTGCACGCAATTACCACAACCTTGGAGTGAATGCTGTTGAGACCCAAAGTAGAACCTCTCAGTCCAAGAGGGAGAGGTTCGCAGATCATGGGCCGAGGCACGTGCGCGGACGAGGGCGAGGCCGGGGCAAGTATGAGAGAAGAAGAGGGCGCCACGAAATTCTGGGAGAAATTATAGATCTGGCCAGAATATCCACACACACACACTCCAGACACCCGATGTCTTGGCTTTTTCGGAACGGGGTCCCCGGAAGTCCCGACCCTTTCCCTAGGGCCGGCTTTTCATCCCGGGCAGTTGTTTGATGGTCCTGAGAACAGGCGAGGGCCCCCAGGTGCCGAACACGTCCAGAAACCTCCCGTCGTGATTTTTCACCCTGCCAGCATTATCCGTCGGATTTCTGTCTTGTATTATTGAGCTCCGCGCCCACGCCTCCAAATCAAGGAAGGCCCTGGAAGAGGCGGAAGATGAGGAGGAGGAGGTAGGTCTGTACGGGAGGGGATCGGGCGCGCGGGAAAGAAGGAGAGACGGGAGGAGGAGGAGGAGGAGGAGGAGGAGGAGGAGGAGGAGGAGAAGGAGAAGCAGGAGGGATGTCTGGGCCTGGGCACCACCCCGCTCTTGGCCGCCCCCCGATCCTTGCACGACCAGTGCCGCTGGAAGGCCTCGTAGGTGGGATCCGCCCCGGGCCGAGCCGGGCCCTCGCGGGGAGAGCGCCACAGCTCCACGCCCCGGAGGAGGGCGAGCCGAGACAATCGGCACAGTCAAAACTGATGGCACGGATGCGCGATGGTAAGGATGCACTCCTCCTC